GGAGTTTGTGTGGCGACCAAATATTTACCGCCCACAAAAGGATATTTCCCCAACTTTCCTATACGTTCCAATTGGGAACGGTGAACCTAGGTTTATTATTTTAAAGCGCCATCTACAATATCCGTCGATAAATATTTTCTTATTAATGTTTCTGATATGATTTTGGAAAATGAATACAATAATACTTAATATTTATAATAGAGAGCCACCACAATAATTACTAATTAGTATGCATATTATATAATTACTACTCGTAGTTTTTCGATTTACCTACAAATTTAAAATAAGAAAATTAAAATTTTCGTTTTTATGTGTTTTCTTAAAATCTAAGATAGCCGTTGTATACATAGTATATTATTATAGAGTCAATCGATGTCTATATTTTAAATTTTGATTATTGTTTTAATTTCCGTAAAATATTCGAACATTATTTCAAGTAATTTTAAGCGGGTAGGGTGGCAAATCAACGTATTATAATATTTATTTATCGCGTGTTCTAACGACGAGATTGATTTCCGTAGGGTTACACGCCATGTCACTTAGCCCTGCAGTTCGGACACGAAGAGATTTACAAGATACTAGTCGAGTCGTACGGTAAGCGAAATATGCTGTTAATAATAATATCATAACTGTAACATAAAAAACGTCGCCTGCAAAATGGCAATCGTTAGTCAGTGGCGAGTCTAAGTATTATCAAATATATTATGTTCCTATATAATCTACGGGGGCGCCCGCAGGGGGGGGAGGGGCCATTTCATTTAATTTAATACCGATATAATTTTAATTAATAATAGATTATAAGAGTAATTTTTATCTTGCCTCATGGTGGGATTCTTCCCTGCAGGTGGAATCTTATTCTGCGGGCGTGCTTAAATTAATCCATAAAACAGTGGCGGTAACCCCTTCAATCCGCCACTCTTCTATAATATTATTATATCATACACAATTAAAACGTGGTTTTCGCTGCTCTTCAGGGGCCGACCCGAACGTGCGAGACTACAGCGGACGGAAGCCAAGGCAGTACCAGACGAACCAGGACACGAGCCTGTCGGCGGACACTTATCGCAGTGAGTATGCCCGTGAAAAGCCCTCGACGGCTGCTAAACTGCTGCTGTTCAGCTCTTTGCCGAGGCCGAAGCGGCACTCTAAAAAAACCGCCAACTTGTCTTCCTTGTCATTCTCGCATGCCGTCCAAGTAGTAGCCCCGTCGCCCAAATCTGCCAGAGACAAACACTACGGTGACTTTGGCGGCGACGGCGCTAGGCCGTCTTCCGCCCTGTACTACTTCTCCGGCCTGTCTTAAAGTTCTAAAATAATAGTAACGATACGCAACACGATATTATATCATTCACAGTTCACACACACACACACACATCTATATAATCGGTAGAACCCACATTAGACGTATTATTCACAATGTATATATACGGTGTACGACTTACGTCCTATTTGCATATAATATACACACACCAATAATAATAATTATACCACACGCATCGCCACCACCCCACCCACTCCCTCCTGCCCACACGAACAACGATCGTCGTTACACGCACATTTAATAAATAGTATAATAATACTCGACTTTTCTGTAATCCGACATGTCGGCCCGTATCGAGTTCAGATATATAATATTATAATAGCTCCCACCACAATATAATACTTATATTGTAATAGAACGTATCTTATCATAATACGCATAGGTAGGTACACATATTTGACGAAATCGATATAATATTATTATTATTGCTAGTTATTTATAATATATACAATATCATAATATTATAGCCATATATAGGTACCGCCGTCAAACCGTGTCATAAAATTTAATTTAAATTCAATGCGGTTATAATACTCTATTATATAACTTGTAAACATTCTTTTCGTATCGTTTTGCGGTAAATCACATTATAAAACGCTTTTTGGCAACAGAATACAAAATAAATGTGCGACATAATATATAATGAAATAAAAAACAATCCCTCTGCTGCATTTGTCTGTATACTGTGCATTTGCAATAGACAGTAAAGCGTATTGTAATATAATACAATATAATATATGTCGTATTTTCGCGGTGCATGGTTTTCACTTTCACAAACTAACTATATATAAGTACCTAATAATATTGCTTACACATATGCGTAGTAATTATTGTACATTTAGTAGTAGTTACCGGGACAAGGCGTTTAATCCTAATTATTTATTCTATAACATGCGTATTTTCCTAAAATATATTAAACCATTTTTAATTTTTATCAATGTTATGTGTTATTGTTTTAGTTAATAATTGTTTAGTATTGTTGATTTGAATTCGTTACTTGTACACGAGTCATCTTTGTTAATATAATATATATAATTTAAATAGACACAGAAAGCTATTTTATAAATATTATATAATATACATGTATATTTATTAACTTTATTGTACCTTTTGTGCGATGAAGAACATATAATGAAATTAACAATATACAATTATTATATACTATATATTACTTGCTATATTATTACCTGTCTTAATTATTTAAACAAAGTCTATTATAACGGAAAAACAAATCCAATATTTGGTAGCTAATGCCAGCTTCTTTTAAACCATTTTATAACAACAACATAATAATTGTCTTCTACCGTAATTTACCATGATTATTCAATTATTATCCTGTAAATTTATCCGAATATAATGCCACTATCTAAATAGTGATAAAATAATAAATGTATAATATTGTAAGCAACCTATCTTACATGTAATTTATTCAAAATCGAGAGTTTTTAGACAAATGTTTATATTGCATTGATTAACTTCAATGGCTGAAGTTTAGGCATTTTTAAATTAAATTCTCATTAATTTATCTTTATCCAACTGTTTTAATTTTTCGATCTTATCTAAATATTATAATATTAGTTGTATATTATACGTACTGAGATTTGTTTGCACTCAATTATAAAACAAATATCTTTTGTGTCCTTTTATTTATATTTTATAAAGTTTATTACAATCGATAAAAAAAAGCGAATCTAATATACCTACTTAAAACCTAAGATAAAAAAATGTCTGTTCAATCTCTTTTGATCTCTGTAAAAAGTTATCTTCAGAAGTTTTAGAAAAAAAAATAAAACAACAATCATTATTCTTTAATTACCTACTTTGTAACTGAATACTTGTTACCGTGGTTTTATTATTTGGTTAAAATGACGTTTTATGTAAATGTACTCTCGTTACATGAATAATTTCAAATATGCGTACAAAAATTAGAGTGTATCTATAAGTGTTTTGATCAAATTAATTTTGGGATTAAAAAAAAAAGTTTTTGTTTCATAATTGTTCAAATCAAATATTGTTATGTATGTATATATTATAAGCTACCACTTAACAACCCCAATCCGAGAGATGATATTGTTTATTAAGCGCGTAAAAAATTGAATACAGTAAATAAAGTTTTTCTGCAAACAAATTGCCAGCGGGTAGCGGCAGACGCTGAATATTTTTTCTCCGGTCCGTGAAACTGCTGGTAAATGTGAAAAATTACTATAACCTACATTGTTTACTGGTTTGGTTTGAATGAATACATTTCACGTGCTATATTCACTCGGATACGTTTTCCTAATCCTACAGCAACTGCAGTCACCGATTTGCTTTGTCCTATAAAATATATTATAAACCAACATTATTGCGTTGCATGTGCATAATATTATTATTAATACCTATACTTGTGCTGCATGCCAATCACAGTCCGTAATATTATAATACGACCAAACATAATGATAATATGTAAGTCATGCTGTATAAAATATGATAATAATTATTGTTAATAATGCACGTTTTTTTTTCGTTGTACGTTTTTTGTGATGGCCGCGGAGACGTGTGTCACCTGCAATACCTCATAATATAATATGATATTTAGGTACGCGTGTGCAGAGCATGTAGTGGCTGCTGTTCGATTATGTAATACTATAATAATATAACAATACTAATTATACGTTTTTACTTGGACTATTATAGTGTTAACAATTCGCGCGCTAACGAAACGGATAATGCGTTTGCAGGCTTTTCGCGTTTGTTAAATTAATTTTCTACACGCACCGGACTTGATGTTTTAATATAATAATATTATGTATATTACAATAGTATAATAATATGATAATATCAACTATACCCGTACCAAGAAAATATGTATTATAATAATTGTCATCTACCCTATAATACCGTGTACGACGAAACCCGACGATACTTAACCGTACTTATTTGTTTTGCTTATAGGGCTGTTGGACGCGGAAAGGCAAGTACAGTTTTTATATAAGAGTGGTGTGGCTTTCGTTCTGTGTGTACATATCATACTTACATATTATTTGTGCTATGCGCTCTTGTAGCAGTAGGTATTCGGCACAAAGACATTATATAATATATTATTACAAGCGTATAACCTATACAGCATGTAATGTGTGTGTGTGTGTGTGTGTGTGTGTGTGTGTGTGTGTGTGTGTGTGTGTGTGTACCTATAAATGTATAATAATATGTATAGTACTATAGTCTCTTCATATACTACATAATATATTATGTATATATGTACATTAAACTGACGCTATGCAATTATACAAATCGCGCATGCTGTACTATAATGATGCTCTACCTGAAACAGCTCTACTATAGAAACTTTTCAGAAATATCATAACAACGCTATTCGCCTAAAAGTTTGCTGAAAACAATATAATATACGTATGTATATAGCTACTGTAATATAATATTATGTACAATGTACATGCACGCACGAACGGCTCTGTCGGTTAGACAATTAGTTAACACGGCGCAGACCGCAGTCTCTGTCCTCTTTAATGATATCCATATACCTTCTGTCTTATGTTTCCGATCGAGTCTGCTCCAACTTAAAGTCTAGACACGTTTTTCTGTTGTTTTTTTGTTGTTTGTCTCGTTTTTTGTACTTTCGTTCATAATATACTGTAGTGTTTGTTTGTTTGCAGAACTAAACGCCCGAAAACACAAACACATGGGTAAGTCTCGAGCGCATCTAATCGCTTTATATTTTCACGTAGCCCATAATAATATAATATTATATAACAGTGGCGCCATTTCTGGGGGTGGAAGAACAAGATTTTATTTTTGCACACATATTATTTAAGGTCTTGAAGTTTAGATATAGGTACAACTTTCTTGGGCGTGATGTGAAAAATTTTTTGAAATGTGTCCGAAAGCGAACATTTTTAATTTCATTATTATATATTTTCAACATTAAATTTAGCTTTTGCCGGTATTTTTTCAGTTATTTTAAAGAAGATCTCTTCGTCAACTGTTAGTTATAGTTTTAGTGGATAATTCCTGATTAAGTTCGACCTAGATAAAATGGACATTGTCCCTTAGCAGTTTAGCTGTTATATAAATTTTCCCACTTAGAAATGGCGCCCCTAACATATATTAGTATTATTATTATTTACACTGCAGTGCACTATGCCATATTATGTATTATATATATATATATATTATTATTATAATAAATGATCGTATAAATACTCAAATAAGACTCAAGTGTTTTTGCAGCGTAGTCTGTAAACTAAAATTATTTTACCCAATCCCTCTGTTCACTAATATTATATAAATCGTATTATATTCATTTTAATATTTAATCTGTATAATATGATATTAATATATAATTAATATATATATAATATACATATAATATGTGCCAAACGAGCTGCAGTAATTTTTTTACTACTAAAAAAATCGTCTCGTCGGTTTCGTTTTATCGTTTTGTCATTTTTTCCTTCTCGGCGTGCAGAAAAGGACCTAAGATTTCTGAGGATCGGGTCCCTGAACGTGCGCGTTAAACGGACCACGGAGGCGTTCAGCAACTTCCTGGGCGTCGGACACAACGCGGAAAAGATCCACAAGACTTGGGGCTCTGCCGACAACATACAACAGGTTTACTAACAGCACGACCGTATATATACGGTGGCGATAATAAATCAATAAATAACAATAAAAATTACTAAATATTAAATTGCAACGCCACGTCACGTCGCCTGTTAATATTGCTGACTGCAATTATTATTCGACTTAACAGTTCTTGTAACAGTTGTGTAGTGGCGTGTCCGCATATTTGATGCAGGAAAATGAAGGCGCAACTATAGGGTGAAAATATTAGGGGACGTTGACTATAGTCCAAAAAAAAATAAAAAAAATACTCATTTAATCAAAACCACCACCAACACTCAATTTCAATAAATAAAAATTGTTAGTTGTATCTCAGGCATGGTAAAAAAAAATGTTCAGAACAAACTAAAAATTATAATATTAATCATAATTTTATTTGAATAAAATAATTTAAATGGTAATGGTAATTCAAAATTTTTCTGCCACTGTTGTGAATTGATTTAAAATTTCTTCATTATAGTCACTACTATCAACATTAATTTGTTTTATTTATATAATCACATAATATTATGATTGCCATTTGCCAAATTTGTAAACCTCACTTGTAAATTGTTACATAGTTCAACGTAGCTAATAGCCAGTGTTCGGATTAAATAAGTATTTTTTTATCTAGATAGAGATAAAGATAATGCGACTCAAATGTATCTAGATAGATATAAAAGATAACTTAACTCATATTTATCTAGATAAAGATAAAGAGTTGGACACTAGGAACATAATAATAATGATATAAAAAAAAATAATTACATTTTTTATAAACCATAAACTTTATTTGAGAATCTGTATAAATATTTAAAAATTGTGTACAATTTCTCGATTTTTATCAATAAAAAATGTATCTAGATGAATTTATTTAGATTAGTAAACAAAATTATACCTAAAATGAAAGGTGAACAAATAATTAACTAGATATTCATCTAGATACGTCCGAACACTGCCAATAGCCTGACGTCTGTCGTCTATCATATAGTCTTGACAAAGAAAAGTTTTCAACAAGAAAGTCGTATACTCGTATAATGTAATAAAATATTATATTTTACAAAAAAAAAAAAAATGTGGTATCGAGGCTTTAAAAACGTACGCAATTTTGTTGAGGGCTAAATCTAAGTATGGGGGTGGAGGGGAGGGGACAAATCCCGTCGTAGTTGCACAATATATTATAATGTATAATACTATATGCATTAATTCGAGTTAATTTTTGTTTTCGGTGCAGAACGACGCCAAGAGAATGCCCCCTCCGAAAAGCGTTGCGATTAAGAAGAGGAAGTCCAAGCGGCCACAGGACTTTCTGAGGAGGGCCTCGGCCCCGGCCGACCGGTCGCCAGACAAGAGGAAATCTGCGGAAATCGTCGTCACTGGCGACTCGGACTCGGACACGGCCTGCGGATTCGGCACGAATTGGCATCAACCGTCGTGACCGTCGTGTCGTGTCGGAGATCATCGTATTTTACCCATGTCGGTCGTCGGTGGTATGCGGCTGACTTTCGAGACGCTTTTCCGCTGCGTATAGTCGTCCTCGGGTGAAATAACAATATATGAGTATATAGGTTCGTCTCATGAACTAAACGGATATTAATATATTCTTCTTAGTTCATCTCTATTATACTCTATCATTGTCTCATCCGTAGTCATCCGCATCATAATATCATCACGATCGACATTCAACTCACCCCAAGTATTATTAGCAATACGTAACAATCGTGTCCACATGCATATAGTCAACATTTACGTGTCACATAAGCCATATACCTTAACATTTAGTATATGTCTTATGTGACACGTCACATACTTGACTGTGCATGCGGACACCATAGTCTGTCTGTGTACCATAGATATTATCTAATATTATTACTATAAATTATAATTATTGGTCTGTTGTGATTATTTATGCCGTCGTCGGTCAGAAGACGTTTTATTTTTTTATTTTATTTTAAGTTTTTGTGCGCGAACGCTTTACATTTTGTTTTTTACTATTTAACCTATTGTGTACCTATACTGTAAATAACTTAATCGAATATAATGTTGTATTATGTTCAGCAGACACTTTTACCAAACACGTTTTTTTAGCTACTTTACTGATATGTCATTAACAATATTTTAAAAAGGACCAAAAAGTCGTTTAATTTTACATACCTACTGTTTAATATATTATTATTGATATTTCAATATTCGATTGTACTTATATACTATTATTTATTGTATTTTGTTTATAATTATTTTAGCATTATAGGCATTTATTGTTACCACGGACTTTGATAGATTATAGTCCGTGTTGTTTCTCAATATTAATATTACAACATTTTATTGGCGTTCAGCTTTTTTAAGATTAATTGTAGTAATAATGGTTATGTTATCGGGTTATTTAAAGTTAAAATGCTCTCTGTTATTAATATTATCTATTTTATAATTTTGTTGTTAAGTTCTTTAAATTTGTACAACTGTACAAGTATTAATTTACTTTAGGACTTAACATTTTCATCAATTATTAATATACAGTAAATATCTACAAATATTTTTGATCAGCCATGTTTACTTACATGTCATAACTATTTTTTCCTACCGACTACAGACATTTAATTAAGGTCAGGTCTGACATTACCTTTTGAACAATTCTTAAATTCACCTAACCATATGCCCTCATCAAACCATAATTTAGTTATGTGACTTCTTATTATAAATTTGATGGTGTAATACATAGGCGCAAATAGGGAGTATTAGCACCCCAAATTTTAAAATTAGTACCCTCTAATAATTTATGTGTTCATGTATCAAAACTTCTCCTTAAAAAAAAAAAAAAAACCAAAAACGGTTTATCATCATTAATCAGGGTATCAGAGTAGGTATAATGAATGAAACAATGAACTCGACAACTGTCATTTTATCTAATTCAAATCTATATAGAACATTATTTCCCAATGTTTCTACCTCAGATCATATGTATATGATCTAAGGTTTTTACTAAACCGGCCGGTCGTTGTGGTCCGTTATATTATTATCAGTTATCACGTTCAGCGCTACGACAATTATAGTATCGCGAGTATTTACTAGTATAAACCATGACAAAATAGATATATCATTTTTGTCATGGTATAAACATTCCCGTGCCCACGCCCAAGTCGAACAAAAACCTAATTACGATATACGAATCACTTGTCAGTTGGTGTTCACCAAATATATTCTATGGTTCGGACCACGGTCTTATATATAAGACCGTGGTCCGGAGTACCAATTATGAGTTCCAAGTTTCCGACAGCCTGTGTGATTGTGTATGTCGTTTGGTATTACATAGTGTAATATCCTATACAGGGTGTAACAGATAGAATTGACTTTTAGATCAGCTAAATAGCTAATCAATATTTATAATGTTTTTTATATACAATTTATAGTCACTTGCGCTACACATAATAATATATCATATTATCATGCAAAAAATTATTTTTATTTTTTAACATTGAAAATAAAAAATTTAAAATTTGATATATTATTCAAAATAGCCAATTTATGAATCTGATTATAAGAACAATTTTGATAGTAAAAACATTTATCTAAGTCAAGTAGCTTATATTTTAAAATTTTGGAAATATCAATATCTGGAATGTGTACGTAAGTTATTATAATAACTTTTTAAAAAATATTTTTTTTGGGAATTTGATGACACGAGTATATTAATTCTTAAATTATTTACTAATCATATAATTTTAACAATTTTTGTCATTTTTTTTTTTTTGTTAAGTCTTTCTGTTACACCTTGTATACCAATAGTTATTTGTCATATTTTTTTAATAAAATATAAAAAAGTTGTTTTCAATTTTTAATAAATTAAAATTGATTATTGTATTCATTTTTATAAAATGTACCTAATACACTTTAAGTATTCAATGTTAAATTGTCATAAAACATTTTTCTCAAAAAAGTCATAAACGAGTAGTTATAGTTATAATTTAATTTAAATGTCCATTAAATGCAGAGCTTTAGCACCCTCACTTTTTTTTATTGAAATTGCGCTTATGGGTGTATAACTTGCAGTATAACTATCAAGACAAATTGTATGTAACTAACATTAATAATATACAATATTATATGTAAAGGACTGATTATTCAAAGGCTAGACGCTTGAACATATTGTACATTTTAAATAATACAGCATGACAAACTTGGGATTATTAAATAAATATGCAGCATCATGAACTTGGGATTATAGTATAAAACCAAATATAATATTATGTAGGGAATAATAACAAGACAAGTAATTAAAAATAGATTGTTTTTATTGTTATTAGGAATCAACCATTAACAAACCACTTAATAAAAAAAAATGACTTAATACGTAATGTATACTTCCCCCAAAATATATTAGTTCTTAATATTTAACCTTTTGAATACTTCTTCAACGAGGTTTTCCCTCTTAACTTCTTCCTCTTGCCTAGTAGTAACATTTCTTAATTTAACTACACCTTTAGCTACTTCTTCTTCGCCAATTATGACAGCCCATGGAATCGCGTTCTCTTCGCAGTGCTGCAGTTGAACCAACAATTTAGGGTTTTTCTTGTACGAATGTTCAGTCTTGACACCGGCATTCCACAAATCTTTGCACGCTGTCATTCTATGTTCGACCAAGTTTTTCTGAGCAGCAGCCACAAACACTTGCACCTCTGTAGTACGTATTTTTTGTTTCTCTTTAGCAAGTTTGGCTTCGATTACAGTGAACAACCTCTCAACACCAATTGATATACCCACACAAGGTATGGTTTTATTTTTTGGATGGAACATACCAACGAGATTATCATAGCGACCACCGCCAGCTACACTGCCAACAGATTGACCTTTATCTAATAAGACTACTTCATAAATTATTCCTGTATAGTAATCTAAACCTCTAGCTAAACTTAAATCAAAAGATACAAGATCTTCAATACCGAATACTTTAATGTATTCAAAAAACAGTTTCATCGATTCAAGCCCTTGTACTGCCATTGTAGACTTGGTGAGCACATCGTCTTTAAACAGAGCTGTGACCAGTTCATCGGTTCCGTTCATCTGCACATATGTTCCAATTTTATCGGCTACTTCTTCAGACAATCCTTTTTCATTAATCATTTCATTTTTGACTTCTTCCCACGGTGACTTGTCCAGTTTGTCTACTGAAGAACAGATTGTCCTAAACTTCTCTGTCGGTACGCCACATGATTCAAACAGTCCATCCAACAAGAGCCTGTGATTGACTTTCACTTTGAAGTTGCCTGCGTCTAACGTTTTCATTATTTCAGCAGCGACAAATACACATTCGGCTTCCGGTATCATTTCGTCATATTGGCCAGCTATGTCGTAATCACACTGATAGAATTCCCTGTAACGGCCCCTGGTAATGGATGGATTATCTCGCCTGTACACCTTGGCAATTTGGTATCGTTTGATGTTGGCGATCTTGTTCATGGCCAGGTAACGTGCAAACGGCACGGTCAGGTCATATCGCAACGACAGTGATTCGCCACCTTGATCGGCAAGATCGTAGATGAGTTTTGAGTCCTCGCCGTACTTACCTGTCAGCACGTCTTTGAGCTCAAATATCGGTGTGTCGATGTTGACGGCACCGTGACGCTTGAACACTTCTGTAATCCGTCCGAGTACGTCATTCCGGATGGCCGTGTGTTCGGGGCCGTAGTCGCGTGTACCCTTGGGCGTTTTCAATTGCACTTTGGAAGACTTTTCCTGCGGTTTTTCCCGAGGTTTATCCTGTTCGTCAGACATGTTAAGACAATACAAATGCTGACACGAATGAATGCTACGCAATTTCACTTTGTTCGAAAACCGTGAAAGCGTGAGTATATATTTCAACATACTGATAACTGATTAGTGATTATCACTGGTTTATCACTTATCAGTCATGGTCACGGCCATTCAGATCTATATGGTCGTGATCATGGTGCTGGTGAGACTGGTTATAAATTTACTAAAATTAATTACCTAACCAACAAATCGTCCAGCTGTTATTTGAGATAATTGTGATATGTGATAAAATAAATTTCATTACAATCAGTCAAATTGTAGTGGTGTGAATGCAAATTGAATAAATTATTATAGTGACGTACTGACGTCTACCACTACACTGGCTGTTGGTGTTTTTCATTAATATTATTATTATTATTATTATTGCTTGATAATTGTCAGTTTTCATTAAAGTCCAAAAAAATATTGTAACATTTAACATAATATCACTTTATTATCAAAAGTTATTGCAAACACTGAATCTCCAACGCCGTAAAAAAGATTAAAGAATCCTTAATTTTTTGATGTCATCGCGAAATATGTAACAATACAAATTCCGAGTGCTTCAGTCAGTCACCAAATCCACAATGTCTTCGAGGGTGTTGCGAAAAATGGGCTTGCAGGACGATCGTGACCTGCCACCTGTTAAAGACGATGCGAGCGATGATACTGAAACCAGTTCTGGCGGTGTAAACAAAAAGCGCCACTTAAACATGTACGATTTGGTGAGTTTGAACGTCTTATGGAAATAGAAACATTTACCGACAGACAATATTGTTATGTTAACTATTGTTTTTTTTTCAGCTGAATAATGGTTCTATGTCTGAGTCTGAAGTCAAAGAAGATGATGACCATGAGACTACTGGTTCCGTAAACAAGAAAGATGAAAATATGTCGTACGATAAGGAAAACATTAGAAGGAAAAAGAAGAAAAAGAGAAAGAAGTCTGGTAAAGTATTGTCATCACATACTCGTAGCAGTGAAGATAATGTTGAGGTAAGTAAATAACAAATTGAACAGTAATATTACGTATTGTTGAAAATTATCTTGTTTAGGACGAAGTGGAAAGAAGTGTTCGTGAAGTGAATAAAATATTGGGTGAAGTACCTGACAAAGGTGAAGATGAAGATGATGAAGCTACTTCTTCACAGAATATGCTGAACAACCATGATACTATATTTTTCAAAAATATTTTATCTGTACAGCATCGAAATCTTAACCCAAATAATGAACTGCGCAAAATGTTTGGACGTGTTGTTCATCAAGCTGAGTTAAGGTAAAAATTAATAATTTCATTGATTTGAGTGTACCCAGTTTTCGAGGAAACACTGTACCTATACAATTTATTTAATTATAAATTAACTATAAAAAATTATTAGATATTAAGAAAAAAATGTAACTAAATTTATTTTTTGATAATAAGTATTATTACTAATTCATTTTTACCTCAATTCTACATTTTAACTTGTACTATTTTTTCTGTTTGAAATAAATTATTTTGTTAAAAAACAGGTACATAAATAACAATATTACAAATGTATATAAATGTAACGTTAATAGCCAGGCTTTAAGTCTATAGTATGATGATGATGCATACAACAAATATAATTTTCTCTGCTTCATAGTAGCTTCAAAATTCACCTCGTCATTGAATTTGTAATGAAAAAAAACTGCTATGGATGTATTCAATTTTCCATTCAATAATAAATCATTAAATACATAAATGTGATTTTGAGGAAGGAAATGGAATCAACATATATTTCTGAGGATAGCTTAGCTTCTGTTATATTTATATTATTATTCCTTTTTTTAATTTTGAAACTAGTTTAATTTAATTATTTCCAAATAATACATTGTATTATTTGACTATATCAATGTAATAAAATATAAATTTCACATTTTAATTTATTAACTAACAAGTATCATAAAACATTTTAAAATCTACACAATATAATTAAATTAAATTATAGTTTTATATTAATTTATTAAAAAGCAACATTTTCTTTACATATATCATGTACAATGCTATTTTACACTTTTTTTTTAATTTACCTTATTATATTACTACTTTTAAATAAACTGTAATGGAAGTATTGATATAGATGTTTGAATGACCATATTTTGGTGTTGCACAAAAGCTTATAAGTTTCTAAGGAGTTCAATATAGGTAATTTTCTAATTGTTTGCATGCGGGTTCTGTAAATGTGTGCATAGTAAGTGATTAGTAGTGTGAGTGACTGTGTATAAAATAAATAGTGGAGCACACCCGCACGGACACGCACATGTCAGTAACGCAACATTTTACAATCTGATAACAAATGTGAATTTTAGTGAAATACTGAAACTTAGTTTTGTATTTCCAATAATATAGCTTACTGAGTGACATTACAGTATGAACACCTATTATACAAATTGAAGAAAAAAAAATTATCTAGGCTTGTATAGGAGTCGATTTTCGATATTTTATTTTCAATGTCCAATATTTAACTCTAAAACTTGTGATATTTTACTTTTTGAATTTGAATTATTGAGTTAAGTAATTACAAATATCAAAAATTGACGTCTATACAGGCACAGATTAACTTCTCATCTAAATATTGATAATAGGTGTTTTTACTCTCAAACCTCTCAATAAACCATACTATTGGAAATACATAAGTACATTTTCAAAGATTTTTTCAATACTATTAATACCCCTTAAGTATTTGTTTAATTTATATTGTAATAAATTATAATCTAATTTTGTAATTACTGATTTAATAGATACTTACTAAAAACTAATAAACGAATGAAAATATAACACAGACATGTTTTTAATTTTTAGCAAACGCAAGTTTAGGGGAAGAAATCATTTGAAAACCACTTGGTTGGTGACCCCTAAAGGCAATTGGCCACCTCCCGGCAAATCAGGTACATACATTGGTACTCTATAGTATAGCCATCGTAAGAACGCTACTGGGCGGCGACCAAAATTCATCCGATCTCGCGCATTCCCACCACAAAATCTTCCCGAACGCTGGCCGCCGTCAACTCTGGCCGCCGCCGCTGTCGCAGCCATCGCTACTGTCGCTGCCACTACTGCCTATTTACGGTGGCGACTAGATGGTAGAGTGGGAGAAACTTGGGTACGAAACTGCGGAGCTCGGTCATTTGGATGCGCGAACGAGTAGCGTTCTTACGATGGCTATACTATAGTAACATTTTTGTTTAAGTCACATAAAAATAACAATACATTTATTGTAGGTTCAACAATGAAATATTTGGAAAGCAAAAATGGTATTATGTATTTTTCCTTTGAACATAGTCCAGAATACCAACAAGTTCAAATGCAACTCTATACAGCTGTGTCTCATATGTCATCGGGAAATCTGGTGGTTGGTTTCAATTAAGTTTAAACTATAAAAGAAGATATTATACTTATCTTAATTTAATTTCTAGAATATTATCAATAACCATCCATACCATGTTGATGTACTGTTACAAATGACAGAATGGGCACGACTTAGTGAAGACTTACCAGTTGCGGCTGAACTCACTGAACAGGCATTGTACTCATTGGAAAATTCATTCCATCCCATGTTTAGTTTGTCAAATGGAAAATGTCGTTTAGACTACCGTTTACATGAAAATAGGTATTTTATTATATTAAATAAGTATCTAATGTCCATTAGTATGTTAAGGTTTTCATTGTTTGGTTTATTACTGCTGACATTTTTGAAAATATCCATATTAGTTTTAATTTTAAATACTTGGCCATTTCGATACATTGTTGGTCATCATAAGTGTGCTCACTGGATAGTCAAAGTAGACAATTATTGTTGTCTAGTTTGTGAAAATTTTTTTTAGTTGTAAACAATTGCAATATTATAATATTATAGCCTATAGGTATTAGATATTAAGTGTTTATAATAGTAGTGTTAAGTACATAATGTATAAAAATAATTATTGACGTTTGATCGGAAATAATATAAGGAATATAATTTTACATCCTTGGTATGAGAGTATGTTGACTAGTAACTACTGACTACTATAGTTAACTTCTTAAGTGTAAATGTTAATACTTATTACTTATTAGCTATTACCTATTATTTATCCCTGCCGATAGCATCTATGCACATTTATGATTATCATTATACCTAGGTTAAAATTAACCTTAAACAATATTAGGTTAATTTATTAGAACAATAAATATAAGGTACAGAATTTTGTTTCCAATAATGTAAAAGTTACTACATTATGACAGTTAACAAATCTGTATGTGTATAGGGTCCTCTTAATAGTGATTAGTAGTTATGTAGAGTTTTTTAATATTAATGTAGAATATTTGTACTAAGTATGGACTATGCACGTCTAGGGGGGTTCTAAAATGTCCATGGTTCATCTCACACTGAATTTAAACACCAAATTTTATATTGCATATTTAGAGGATTATTGCATATTGGTTCATAAATTCATATAATATGCATATTTAATGGGTTTTTAATAAATTACCTATTTTATTTATGATAAATATATTTTATTAATTTTAAAAGAAAAAAAATTGTTGACAAGAATATTCTTAAAATATTGTCATTTTTGCAACATTTCATGAGATCGGAGCACGTATAGATAATATTATATTAACAACAATAAATTACATACACCCGCATTTCGGCACAGGTACTATGTTACTTCGACCTGCGCAACGAATAAGGCAGTTACTCAATTTTACAAATTTTTTTTATAACGAATAATATTTACAGATGGTTTTTTTTTCTGAGAGTTTTAGACATTGTATTTTAAACAATCTAAAATAGGAAAAAATGAAAATAATAAAATATTGAATTTTGGTTTTTAAAGTATTAAATGTTTAACTATTTAAATATTCTTTTGTTTCTGATAGAATATCTAGTAAGTAGGTATCTACTTTCCTTGGTGTAAAAATGTGTTTTTGTTTAAAAAAAAAATCACATTTTATGATGTTTAACATATGGCGTATAATTGCATATTGAGTCACTTTTTCCTTGCATATTTGCATCATATTTGACACTTTTTGAATGCAAATAAATCCGGGCTCTAGTGATTAATATCGATAGATGATAGACTTAATAGCTGTATTATCTCCTAACAGTAAATATAATTTCAAATTGCCTTTTAATAAAATTATTTCTTCTCTAATAAAAATACAGCAGCATTAAACTTTTTATTTTATTAAAATTATTGGCTAATTAAAAAAAAAAAAACCAAAAAATTAATTTTTATATTCACAGATAAATCTAATTTTAATGTGGATTTTAAGAATATTAAGTGGTGAAAATACATATGGAATTACTTAGGTATTTAGTTTAAATGTATAATTAGTGTATATTATGTCAATATAAAATTTATAATTTATTTATATTTTATATTATTGTTTGTTTTAGAGCGTTGTTCCTGACTTTATACAGACATTTAACATTTGTTGGACTTAGAGCTTGTTATCGTACAGCTTTGGAATTCTGTAAACTTCTTTTGTCCCTTTCCCCAATGGATGATCCTCTTGCTGTAGTACTATGTATCGATTTTTACGCTTTGCGTTCTTCCGAATATTCATGGTTCATTCATTTTGTGAATGCTTTTGATTCCGCAAGAAATCTAACACAGCTTCCTAATATCAAGTTTTCTCTTGCTGTTGCTAAATGGCAGAAAGGTGACGTTGAAACTGCACATACATTGTTGCAAGAAGCATTAATGATGTTTCCTGGAGTTCTAATACCTTTGTTAGAAAAGTGTTCCATCCAGGCTGATAAACGAGTCAATGCACATTCTTTTTTCACAACTTATGCTACTGAAACGTATGTTCACATATTATATAATATATATTTAATGCTTATAACACATAATATTTGTTTGACCATACATTACTTTATAAAAATTTTACTTTATAGACAACCGAAATCATTGTCTTACTTAATATCCATGTATGTAACGAGGAGTTATCATATATGGAAAGAAGTTCAACTGTTACCATGGCTTGAACGCAACGTGCAAATTGTACTTGATAAAGTAGACGCTAAGGACCCAGTAGTGAAAAACATGGAAAATTTACGAGCCACTTTATACAGTGCCAAACCACCATTGAATATACACAGGCATTTGTTATTGTCAGACATGAGTGACACAATCGCACCACCAGCTGAGGTAATTTTAGATTGATAAATATATTAAAAATTCAATGGTTGACTAAAAGTAGATGAAATTACAAGGGAAACCTATTGTGCAGCTTAAAATAGTCTGTTGTGATCCTTTTTTTTTTGTTGTTGTTGAAAGATGTATATTATCCTTAGGTTTTTCATTGGACTCAGATTTTTTATTTTACTTAAAATTAATGCCACAAAAATACTCAAAGATCTATGATAATTATATGGACAATTATTATATCTTCTGAAAATTTAGTTTTTAAAATCTAAATTTATGTGACTTGAAAAAAATTAATTTTTCAAATAAAAAGAAAATTTAATGAAGAATGAATGTTTTGTCTGTGAGCCAAGGGTACACTTGTCGTATGCTATCTACCAAGAAAATCATATCTACAAAAATCTACGTATACGTGTCGTATGCTATCTACTAAACAAATGGATTTTATGACAACCCTAACAACCCTTAGAATAAATGTTTGACAACCCTTTTTTACATCATAAATATTTTGTTATAATAAAATCTCCTTTCACATCAAGTTTTCAGATTTTTTTAAAGTTTCTTACATTCCACCATTACATTGATCTCCAATAGAATTTAACTTTGTGCACAGTTTTGTATTAGGTGATAAATCACGATGTTTTAAAAATTGTATTCAAGTTTCGTTATTAAAAATAATTTTTCTATATAATTCACCCAAAGTACTCATTTTATAAAGCCATAAATTTACAATTAATGAAAAACACACAACTACGGCGTTTGATCTCAACGATCAACGAACACATACTAAAATCTAAAATACAAAATAACTTTGAAATTCCTTAAGGAATTATAAATATATATAATATTGACAACGCTAATACTGATTACGGTAGATAACGTAGATACGGTAGATAGCATACAACACCGACAATTTTTTGGTAGATAGCATATGACACGTGTGCCGAGCCAAGTTTTGTGCTAAGTATATTTGACACTCTTATTGCATGTATTTGCAATTTTTTTTTTTTTTTTTTGAACGGCCACACTTATAGAAGTGTTATCAAGGGCCACAAAAATATAATAAATAATACATTTTTTTTTTTTAAGATAGATACTATATAGTTGGTTATTCTAATTTTATTCCTATATCAGAATCATTTTTAACTAACTGCAGTTTACAGAAAATGTTATACTAAACACTGTCTTTTTAGTCTTCTCCTTCTTCTTCCTTGGTTTCGGCCATTCAAGACCATACCTCTAGATAAACATATTGCCATCTATCTCTATCTTCTGCCAATGACTCTCCAGTTCCACTGTTTTAACGTTTTTTTTAACGTAATTCTCCAATCTTAAACGCTGTCTTCCAAAAGATCTCCTCTCTACTGGGTTTTCCTCTATTACTTTCCTTATTAGCAAATCATGCTTCCTCCAGGCATGTCCTGCCCAAACCAGTCTTCTTTTCTTAATCTCTTTCAGTATATCCGGTTACTGAAAAAAGAATTGCAGTTCATCGTTGTGTAATTTCCTCCATTAATTTGTGAGAACATCAAACTATCAAAGTATGCCCCATACATTTTTCTGAGTACTTTTCTCTCAAACACTGAAAATTCTTTGATCTTCAGTCTTTCTCAAAGGTCATGTTTCTGCTCCATACAGGACAATTTGCCTTAACAAAGTTAAGTACATCCTAACTTTTAAGTTCTTAGAGATTGCTCTTGATCTAAAAATTTTACCAAGTCCAAAGAAACATTTATTAGCTGATTGTAATCTCATTGAAATTTCTATTTTTGTGTTGTTATCTTGAGTTATAATCGACCCTAAGTACTTGAATTGGTCCACTCTTTTATGTTTGTATTCTTCCACTTCAATGAATTTTTCTTGTACCTGATTCCCCTTTCTCCGACTGACCACCATGTACTCTGTTTTTTCTTCATTAATCCTAAGTCCTACTTTCTTTGCATCCTTTATAAGTGATTTTCCCATTTTTATTGCCATCTCTCTATTCCTTCCCAATAGACACTGCACAATATTGTACAAATGGAAATGATTTAAGAAAAAATTTTACATCTACTAAGATTATGAGCACAGTAATTTTCTCTTTATGTTTAATTGAATGTAAATTATAAATTTATTTCACTAGCTACATAATTTGTTTGATGTGGGGGGTTACTGACCCATGTTTAATGTCTAAACAAATTTTACCATCCAATGTTATAATGTAATAACATTAATGATTAATCATATTAAAATTTATTTATAAATTGTTTTCAAAATTATATTTGAATATAGTATTAATTTTAGTTTAATAATTTGGAATTGGAATATTTATTACATTGCAATTAACAAAAGTATGAATTAGAAAACATACATTTTTAATTGATATATAGTATAATATTTTTGTTGATTTTATTTAGAAATTAGAAAACTGTAAACTAAACATATTAGATGAATATTCTTTCCTTTTATAGTAAAATTATTACCTGTATATTATATTATACATTCAGAAATCTATTAAAAATATATATATATATATATATATAGTTATAACATACATAATTCTTAGTTTTAATTATTGACATTACTTTATAGTAATATTGAAAAAAAATATATTATTTAAATACCCATCAATTATATTTAATGTTCCTCTAATTTATGTTTGTTGTCAGGCTGTGACAAATCCAATTCTCATTATGGACCCGTTTCCGCCGCCAGACGGTACATCATTTTACAATTCCAGATCATCTCATGATAGCATCAGTAGGACGGCTGTGGAAAACCATTCACTTTTCTCTACGTTCTTCCGGTCACTAAACCCTGTGTTTCAAGCCCTTTCGGATGAAAGGTGATTTATCAACATTGTATCTATTATAAAAGATACAATTTTATAAAATTGCGTGTTATCTTTAACTTTCAGTAATGTTGACGAAGAGTTAGCAGCTGAGGCCGAAGCTGTTGCAAGACCTGTAATAACAATGGTCGGTGAGCAAATTGAAGAAATGAGGAGTGATTTACGTCAAAGTGTCAACTCTTTGTTGGACGCCATGAGAGATTTGCTGTCCAATGTACACTCACCAAATGTACCCGCCGATGGCGATATAGATGACGATTCTGAGCTCACGGATACAGCATAATAGTAAAATTTAATAAACTTAATGATTTTTCAGAATTTTTTTTTTGTGTTCCAATTTACTTATAATTATTTTTAAGTTTGATTAAATTTAAATTATTTTGCATTAGAAGACTGGGCTCATTCTTATGTGTGTATTATATTCTATTGTAATCTTATTTTAACTATATGTCTATATAATTAAATTTGTGTATAGACGAAATATTAAAAATATTATTTTTATCACAAATCTCAAACAATTTTAACTCTGCCCATACTACAACTCAATAAAACCATTTTTTTATTTCTTTATGCCTACAAAAACTATAATACATTTTTAGGCTATCATAATATGTCTTACATTAGGAGTTTATAATGTGTATCCAATTATATCTTATTTATCATGTCTCAATGTAACTTATATATTTTTTTTTTTTGTTCTCCTTCTCAATGTGTATTAAATAAAATAACATTAGAGCACAGAATTAGACATTTTTATTTTCACTCTTTTAATTTGCAATTGATATTTAGACCTAACCTAAAAGTAAAGTCTTAAAATTACTTTTAGTTTTCAGTACAATTTAAAATACCTAAAAAACCCACAGTCTATACCTTTTATCACATGACCTACTAAATCAATCCATTAAATAACATGCAAACATGACTATTGAATACAATCCACATTGTTACATATAAAGTGAGTGACTTGTAAAAATATCAACCGTGGGCACCAGTAGACTAATATTGAGGATTTTTTGATTAATTTCATTGGCCGTTTATCATACTTCAGTGGGAAACAGTAATTTAATTTAATCATAGTTCTTAATGGACAACAAAGTATTTTTACTACTATTCAGTATTTCTATAATAGGAACAAAAATTATACAAATATACATTTATGCCGTATAATAATAAAATATGCATCTCACTACTATATGTTTTTTGATTAGGGTTATTAATTGAAAATAAATTTATTTTAAACAATTTCATGAAAACTTTAGTTGAACAAACAAAATCTTAATTTTTCATTAACTTCTGCCATTATTACTATCTAATTTAATCTTAGTTTTACTAAGAGTTAGATGGAACTACAAAGACGGTTTATCAAACATGATTATAATTATAAGCTTCAAGCAAACATTTTTGTTCTTTATTTTATAATAAATGTATACAAATATTTTCAACAGTATTTAATTTTAGAACACAGATTCAACAATATTGTGTATCAAATTATGTATATCAAAAATAATTTAACACTCAGAAAGGTTAATGAGGGTAAAGGGTTGAAATGCTTGAAATATAAAACCCATTTAGAAATTTTTTTTAATCATAATATGTTTACTTTAAATGTGGGTAGAACAAATTATATTCGTTTCAAGATTCCAAAACTAATATCAATAATCAAATTTAAAGATTTTTAATTATATTGAGTATTTTTGTACAATATTAATTTATTTTATTATTTTGTGCTCTATATAGTATAGCCTAGCCTGTTTCATTTCTTACAAAAGTAAATTAAAATTTCTTTGCCATTGTCTATTTTCTTCAAAAATATTTGTGCATATAATTTACTGTGGTGTTTAATGGATTATCAATTTATCATTTTGATTTTTTTTCTATTGAAATTTCTGATTTGTAATCAGCAAATAAGAATATCTTAACAATCTTTTGTCAGTTTTAAACAAGTACATTTTTTTCTCATAGTATTATATTATATATTTATATTTTGTATAATAATGATTATTCATTTTAAATATTTTAGTAAATATTCTCAGCATACTTATAAATGTTCAGTAGGTATTCATAAACTTATTTTGAGAAGAGAAGAGACTATTTTATAGTTTTTGAAATTGAACTTTAGAATGTGTTGGAACATAAAAATTGTAGTAGCCTACCACTAGTAGGTATGTACCAATATGAAAATCTAATGATTTTTGTTAATTCAAAAAATAAAAATATTGATCCTAATATTAGTATTTTACGTTTGTTAAATTACTTTAATTGTGTCTAAAAGTTTGTGTTTTATTTAAAAGATACTTTTCCAATTAATTTTGTAAAACCAATGCATTTATCATATAATTATGTAATAAATATAATACCTATATACAAATTATAAATAGTGTAAATTATTATTTAAAAAAAGAAGAACTATACAAACGATTTCTAATTATTTTAGATAATATACATCTTTTATTATTCAGCCACTAAATTGTAATTCAATATTTATCAATCATTTAAAATATTATACACCATTTCTACCAGTCATGTTAAACAGTCACCATACACTGTTCGTACAACCCTGACTCGTGAGTGAACAATTTTCATGTAGTAAGGAGTAATAAATATACTTATGTGATTAATTATATAAATTACACTGTACAAATAAACGCCTAATTAGGTATTTAATTTCCTACTGTTGTGACCAGATGCATAGCCATGGTTTTTTTAAAGGGGATGTTATAACACCCAAAATATCCCCCCTGGCTAGTGGCTACGCACCTGCTTGTGATATTCTACAACAGTAAGACCGTAAACATATAACTAGTGTTTATAAAAAGTACACTTTTCATGAGACGATAAAATCGAATAAATCCAGTGTCTCGAGTAGTGAAATGAAAAAAAAAATCAATGTAATTAGTTTTAAACTTTTGATCGTACTTTCATGTAATTTGCATTTTGTTACTTCAACCTCATTTTTCTTCGGTTTATGTGTAAAGAGATGACGTTTGCCAAAATTCAAAATTTTTATATCGGTGTAATCGTGTAAATAAATACTTAATGGACATTACTAAGAAATAATCATACTAATTTGTAGCAACACCATGTAATTAAGTTCTTTTTTTTCCAGCATGTTAATTGTTTCATTCTTTAATAACATAAATGTTATCATTCATATCATGATTTACTATTATTTTTATTAGAGTTAGTAAATTGCTAAATTTAGAAACACTCCAACACGGTTTTCAACTTTTTTACACACTTTTTACATAAGACAAAGAACCAGACAAACGACGGCACTTACCACTCTATCCGCCGCAGGTGGTTTGCTCATTTTGGTCTCGTCTTAGACGGGTGATGACTGACTTGCTAAACACTCTGACCAGGGCGTATACAAGGGGTGGCGAGGGGGTTAGACCCTCCCCCCCATTGGCTTTTTATTACCTTAGTAAAATGTTTTGAGAGGGTGGGGGATTTTCCAATTTTTCCTTCCCATTTAGATATGTCATTTTTTTTTTTGATCCCCCCTTTCAGAAATCATGTCTACACCACTGCCTCTAACATGCAGATTTTCGAATTTATATTTTTTTACACGTACAAAACAGCACCGGACATACTCGGCGGGATCGTATCATTCAATTGCCGATTTTCATGGGCCATGGGGGATTTCTAGGCACTGAAACTTGATTTTTAAACTTTCCCGCCTTCGAAACGAGAACGCCAAATAGCCAGGCCGATATCAAAAACTATTATCACCAAAACCACCTTCATTATAAGTGCCACTTTTATATTAATTCGACTGCATTTCCAAAATTGCTATCCATGGATAGGTGCACCTGGAGGTCCAGGGGTCTTCCCCGACTAGACCGGAGGGCTAGTTCAAAATATGAATTAAACTTTCCCACCAGAATACCGTTTCCAAAGCATGGACACACAAAATATAAATCATAATATTATATTAATTATTCTTATTTATATGGCAATGTTCCAATATATTTCATGCAACAATCGGTCTTGTTCAACCTCTTAGCAATCAAACAATAGAACAAATCAAACAATTTTCGTGACATTATAGTGTTTAGGTCTGGTTCCTTTGAGCTTCGGGTCCATAGCGTTGTTCCCTCGCCCCCGGTCGTCAATTTTTTACAATGAAGATCTTCAAAGACATTTTCTCCGGTCGGTGATACCCGATTGAGCACGGTCGTTATCGGCCGACCTCTTAGACGACCCGATTGAGCACGATAAAAAAAAAAATATTGTGTACAACGTTGTTAGTACCTACGTTCACTAGTACCTACGTATGTTGTGTAGATATTACCAATAGGCAATAAACTAACATATTAGTCGAAAACGATTTTGCTATCGATCGATGGGTAGGTATACCCACGGAAGTTGAAAATAACTGGGATAGATATAGGAAACCAAAATTCTATCTACAACGATTGCACTAAATTATGATTAACTGTTATTGTATGTACTTATATATGCTGTAAATAAGACTTGGTCACAGTCAGTCTATGGTTCTGTTGCCTCGTGCTCGTAGTGCGGTAGTGTGCAAATTTTACGATGGAAAATAATGAAATAAAAATTATTTTATCCGAGAGAGGTAAAAAGTTGGCAAATGTTGGAGCTTATAAAGGCTTATCAGGAGTACTCTGAATTAAAAAATGTTGATAACCTCCTTAAATACTTATTTGAAATTGTAAATAAGTATTTAGGGAAAAAAATTAAAATTTTTATTTTTTAATTCATTTTGATTGGTATTTTTCAACATTTTTTTATATTATATATTTTTATATTCAGTATTTAGCGGAATAAATTGTAATTGTAATATAATATAATAAACTAACTGACGTACATATGTAATAATATGTGATTAAAGTCCAATAAAAGATTTTTATTTATAAACATTTACATTCAAATGTATCTTATTTTTTAAAAATAATATTCTACGATACACAATGGCAACGTCGCACCTATTGTCGTGCTCAATCGTGTTGTTTTTGGGGTTTTTTTGGGTTTCTATTGTTTGATTCCAACCATGCTCAATCGGGTTGTGAAAACGGTAAATCGTGCTCAGTCGGGTTCCAGCCTCTCCGGTGACGAGATGTTCTCGACAAATTCAAATTGATCGACGGCGTCCTGTACGAGGTTTACGGCAAGCTGATCACGGGTTACCTTGTAGAGCAGGGGTCTCCAAACTTTTTTATTCAAGGGCCACAAAAAAAATCAAATGCTCTTAGCGGGCCAAAAGTTTATTAACACATATAATTTTTAATTTTATGATAATATAGGTACCTACCTATA